AGCATGGAACCTGACTGCAAGCTTAACCTAAAAGAGGTTTATGTTTCTCACACAACAAGAAGTCAGAGGTAGGTGCCTGGGCTCTGCAACAGCTCCAGGATGTAAATAATGTAGCAAACTCCTTTTAGACGGTTTTTGCCTCTCCAGGATTATTTCTGCATTCTAAGCAAGAAAAAGGAGCAAAGGTGAAGGGCAAAAGGCCAACGTGGCCCTTATGAGCGACACTGGCTGCTTTAACAGGCTCTCCTGCAAACAGGCTCGGCTTGCATCTCACTGGCCAGCACCTGGCTGCCCCTATGTGCAGAGGGGCCTGGGAGAGTTTTAAATGAATTCTGACACCTAGCACCAAGTCAGGGTTCTCTTAGTGAAAAAGAAAGGGGAAATGAATATTGTGTATGTGGCTAGCCCTGTCTGCCATAACGGGTACGCCCCCCCCAAGGGCCCCTGTTCAAGTTCACAAACATTTCCCGCTGTCCTGCCATAGATCGCATGCAGGTTAAGAGTCTGGATTCTGGAGTCAGAAGCATATGTGTTCAAATCCCTGTTGTGTATTCATTGGTATTATGGGCTTGATCAAGTCACTCAGCGCCTCAGTTATCATACGTGCAAAGTAGGGGTAATAATTGTTCCTACTTTTAGGGCTGTGGTCAGGATGAAATGATTTAATAGATAGCCCATGGCACATAATAAGAACTCAACAAATGTTAGCTATTGTTATTTGATTGCTGCACAGATCATATTGAATTATATTTTAATGCATCATTTAAAAGATTGTGAGCCTGCTGAGCAAGGATGCTGCCTTTTCCTCTTCTCTGCTTTTAAGTATGAAAACAGCTATTTTCACTAAACAACTGATCCATAAATTCACTTGCTTTGTCAAAGTTAAAAATACTACAGAGAAAGCTAAAGGCACCTTTGACAGCCCCATCGCTTCACCATCCCTCTCCATAATCCCTAGAAGTGAACACTGATCACTTTGTTTTTCCTTCAGACCTTTCCTTATACATTTCCTATATGCATGTGTACCCACGGAAAATATGGAGGGTTTTTTTTTAATATTTCATTTGTACCTTATGATATGGGTCAACCTTCAACTTCCTTTTTCTTTTGTTTTCAACTCAACCATGTATCTTGGCAATCTATTCTTTTATTATCTGTAGCTTTCCCAAATTGTCTTTTATTTTCCTTTGCCAAATTGCTTTGTGGTATTTCCTAATATGGATATATAATACTATATAGTTTATTTAGCCAATCCCTATTAATTGACACATAGGTCATATCCAACTCAGGCTGTTGAAAACAGTGATGCAAAGATTATCCTATGCATATGCCTTTTTTGCACATGTGGACACCATAAAATGAAATTTCTGGGCTTTAGGATGTGGGCATTTTAAACCTTTAAGATACTGCCAGGTAACTCTCGCTCCCTTACAGAGATAGTTGTATCTAAGAATGTGGTTTTTTTCATCTTCAACTCCGGTCTACCTTTGGGTCTAGCACAGCCTAAGCTCAATAAACTTTTGTTGAATTGCATGCTCCACCAAGATTTTGTGTGGCGATTACACAGAGAAGGTGATATATTTGGAGCCCTCCTTAGACACATGACCTTAGATAATTCTTTCTGTTGAGTCTAATATTCTCTCCTCTCTCTCTCTCTCTCTCTCTCTAATGTTACACTTTGGTTCTTTTCTACTTCTAAGAACCAGGGAGAACAAGACTAATTCCCATTTCACATGATGTGCCTGGCCTATATCAAACTATAATTCTTGCTTCCTCACTCCACTGTTCCCATTTCAAATTTTTCAGGGTTTTTGTGAAGATAAATGAGATAATATTTGTGAAAGTAGCAGGAGTTCTTTTCAAGGCTGGAATGTAAGTGTGGCAACGATATGTCCTACATTTCTTAGGACAGATTGATTTTTATCTGATGAACTTGCATTTCCCATTCTTTAAGCTTTTGAATATGGAATACATTCACATGGCTGAAAAATTCAGAAGTCCAAAAAGGCACACATTGAAAAGTCTTGCTCCCACCCTGATTCCCCATCTTTCCAGTTACTGACTCCGCTATCCATGCCCCCAGGTAACCACTTTCATTAATTTCTTAGGTATTATTCTATAATTTCTTAACTACTTACATATGTAAAAATAAGAACGTTTCCCCACTGCGTGCCCTCTCATACTGTCCCTCCCTTCTTTCCGTTCATGTTGTATCTTCGAGATATTTCCATCTAAGAACATAGAGTGCTTTGCAATGATTACTTTTGACTCTTTCTATCACAGAAATTTAAAACTTGGTGTATAAAAAAAAAGAAATTTAAGATTTTATTTATTTATTTGATTTTAGAAAGAGAGAGAGAGAAAGCCGGGGGTGCGGGGCGGGGAGGGAAGCAGAGAGAGAGAGAGAATCTCAAGGATACTCCATGCTGAGTGGAGAGCCCGGCTTGGGGAGGGATCTCACGACCCTGAGATCATGGCCTGAGCCGAAACCAAGAGTCCGATGTTTAACCGATTGAGCCACCCAGGTGACCCAAACTCAGTGTATAGAAAATTTAACCTCTCATATAACCTCCACTCAGCTTCAGTAATTGGTAATTTGCCTATTTTTAAATCGATTCTTCTACTTTAAAAATTTTTGTTGTAGGATTTTAACACAAATCCCTTACAGCATGTCATATTGCCATTTTTGTTTTTCTTTATTATTTTTACTGGATACACAGATACTCTGATATAAATATATGTACCATAACGCATTTTAGCAGCCCTCCATTTATGGATATTGAGGTCGTTTCCATAGTATAGTTCTTTTTAATAAAAGGGAACTGCTATAAATGTATGGATACAGGCTACTTAAGAATTTCATATAAACAAATTCACTAATCAGAAAAAGAAATCCTTGGGGCACCTGGGTGGCTCAGTCGATAAGCGTCTGCCTTCGGCTCAGGTCATGGTCCCAGGGTCCCGGGATCGAGCCCCACATCGGGCTCCCTGCTCGGCGGAGAGCTTGCTTCTCCCTCTCCCACTCCCCCTGCTTGTGTTCCCTCTCTCGCTGTGCCTCTCTGTCAAAAAAATAAATAAAATCTTAAAAAAAAAAGAAAAAGAAATGCTTGATCAATCAGTTTGGAGTTCATAAAATATAATCACTGAAGGACCCGAGCTGCAGCTGTGGAGGCTCCGATGTGGGAAACTAGGAACAGCCCTTTTCCTATTGCTTCTCTCAAAATGCTGTAAGAGCTTTGGTTTTAAGTACCTGCCTATATTAATATTCTCCTCACATTATCATGATTAAGAAAGCTATGAATTTCCTGAATCCCATCTTTTGTTTTTTTTTGCAAGGCCTTTCTCGGCTTACCCAGATTTGGTCCAGAGTTTCTCAATCTCAGCACCATTGACATTGGCCTGGAAAATTTTTTGCTTTGCGGGGCTGTCCTGTGCATTGCAGGATGCTAAGCAGCACACCTGGTCCCTATCTCTTAGATGTCAGTAGCACTCTGCTCCCCCAGTTCCATTGTGACAATCAAAAACATCTCCAGACATTGCCAAATGTCTCCTGGGGAACAGTCTCCCCACCTTGACAACTATGGCTTTGGACTTAGGGCAAAAGGAGGAAAAATGGGTAAGAAGGCGAGTAGCAGACATAGAAACACCTCATGGTCTACTAGTTAATATCTAAAGAAGAAGAGCAATTGGACTGAATTATGACTCAGTTTCATTTTCTATTCCAGGGCCAATTGCTTATCTGTTTATTTAACCAAGAAGTTCTAACTTACTAATTTAAACAAGGTTTGGGAATAGAAGTAGAAGCAGAAGGCTAATGAATGAATTTGTCAATCCCTGTTTCCAGGCTGTGACCTTGATTGATAATATTTCTCAGCAGTGACATATCTCAAGTACTCTTTATCTTTTTACCTCTGATAAGTCATATTTTGTGCATTTATTTTGTGATTCAATGCCTTGTTTTCCATTAAATGTCTCATAGTTAACTCGATGAAGTTGAAACTTTTTTTTTTTTTTATATGTGACATGTATTTGTGTCCAAGTCTTGGTTAATTTCTGCATCAAAAGCTCTGTTTCAATCTCAGGTCTCTGTGGCTCTCAGAATGTGTATTCAGTTTTAGACTTGGCCGCTGACTTCATATGAGAAAGTGGAAGAGGAGAATGAGGGAGTCTCCTTCATCCTCCTTTTTGAGAAACAACTTGTCTTCTTTGCAAGGGGAGAATGGAACTGAATTTTCCCAGTTTACATTCTAAACACTGAATGTTTAGGATGTAAACATGCTGTCAGATGCCTAGAAATCCTGCCTAGGTATGAAGGATCAGGTCCCTTGCCTCCTCTTCTGTGAGGTTCTTGCACCTGCTAAGCAAAATGGTCTGTCTCATCCTCTCTGCTCTGACAGTGTTTTAAAACTGCCTGAGATCATGGCAAAGTGGGGACACATGTTCCCCTTTAACCTGGACCCTCCGTTTGGTTATGAGCACCTGAAGAGCATGAACTCATTTATAGAAATCCCTGTAATCCTCAATATCCATTATCTTATTTGGCACAACTAGTTGTCAAATAAACCTCAGTTTGGTTTGAATTGGTTAAATAATTGAACCCTTTCTTCTCAAAAGTTCTGACTGCTTGACAAATATTTATTGGTTACTCCTTTTGGAGTTTATGCCTTTGGAATATTCCCTCCATGCCCTGGGGTAAGCACTGCTGTGTTGCATTCAGTGTCATCATCATCCTCATCGTCAGCATCATCATCATCATCACTGTTAATAAATGCCTCTTAGGGACGCCTGGGTGGCTCAGTCAGTTAAGCGTCTGCCTTCAGCTCAGGTCCTGATCCTGGGCTCCTGGGATCGAGCCCCACGTCAGGTTCCCTGCTCAGCAGGGCACCTGCTTCTTCCTCTCCCTCTGCCGCTCCCCCTGCTTATGCTTTCTCTCTCTCTATCAAATCTTAAAAAAATTATAAAACAAATGCCTCTTACATGCCGGACATTTTGCACATAATCTCATCTGAAATTTTGTAATTGCATTGCAAAGTAGGCATTCTCATACCCATTTTTCTGATGAATTAGAAAACTAAAGCTCAGAGAGGTTGACAAACTTACCCAAGATCACCCACCTCATAAGTGGGTAAGCTAGAATACAATTTGGATCTTTGACTGCTAAATGCCTGCTCATTCCACTGCGTCATTTCACTATGGGATAGAAGGGAGTGTCTGGCGAAGGCCCAGTGTGGAGTAAAAGCTTTGGTCAAAGACATTCTTATTTTCCTTCCTTATAGGACATTCAGAACCTTGGTGATCCCTCAGACTTCTCCTCCACAGGTGTGTCCTTTATCTGTTACGGTTGGAAAGACATGGGTCACCTGCACAGAGGCTTAGTTTATTTTCAGTAATGTGGGGATCCACAGGAAGGGTCATCTGGGGTACTGAGAACCCTCCAGCATGCTGATCTCATTTCCTCCTGTCCTGTAGGTCATAGCTCCAGCATTGTGCAAGGAGAAGTATGAGCAGCATGGAAGGCAACATCTGAGGCAAAGCCGGCAAGAGAAGTTGAGGTGCGGCAGACCCTGAGAACATCAAAGCCCTATTGAGGCCTTTCTATGCCCACTGCTCGGTGACCTCTTGAGCAAATTTTTTTTTTTTCATTTTCCCACTCCTTTGCTCCTTTGGATAGGAGGACTATGTCACTTATTATCCAAACAAAGATTATTTTGAAAAAAGAGCACTGTTAATAATACACAGGGATATCAGAACTCTCCTGGGGACACCAGGATGCATGGTCTCCCTATCTGGAAGTCCTATTTCCATAACATTTCAGAAACCCAGAGGTGAGTGTCCTTGTCACCTTTAAACACAGAGAACACATCTGTCCAGGCTGGCTAGAAAACCCCATAAGGCAGTCAAAACAGATGGGGCCTTTTCCGAGTTGCATGACCTCCACTCCACCACACTGAACTCAGTGTTCTCATGTATATAATGGGCATGATGGTGTTTATCTTAAGGGGGTTACATGGAATAAATAAGATGTCATATGTACTATGTCGGGTGTCCAGTAGTGTCTTTCTCAGAGGGGTTGGGGCCCCTGGTGGCTGGTGGGGGCAGGGGGACCACTAAACATTCGGTCCAAGTTCAAGGGGAACTTTGGAAAACTTGAGAGATGATCTGAATTTCAGGCTCCTGTGCTTTGAGGGTTCTTGGCTCACTCTTAGTTGATGGAAGTGGAGCCCACTCATTTTTACTGGTTAAGAACTCTGCATCCACTAACTGGGAATGAGGAGGGAACAGAAGAAGAGAAGAAAGAGCGTCAAGAACTGCTCCTGCTGCCCCGGAGACAAGGCGGGGAAGGCTCAGGGGAGGCGTGGACACAGTCCCACCTGGGTCAGTGTGGAGAGACTATGGAAGCTAATCTTGGTTGCTGTGTTGGCAGTTTCCAGCAGAATAAAAAAAGAACTAAAGGAAAGAGTTGAGATCCTAAACATGGGCTGGAAAAGTCCTCAGTTTTGACCTCTTACCTGTTTTCTTGGGCCTGGCAATAGGCTTGCAATCTCCTGATTGGGCAATGATCCTTCAGGCATCCAAGGTCAGGGAGCATTTTCCAAGACCAATTAGAGTTTCAGAGAGACAGTCTGCGCAGAGCTTCCCTGTTAAAATGGCCTCCACCTTAGGCTTCCTTGTTCTTCGGGAAGGAGAGGAGTGTGGGGACCCCGCTAGCCTGAGACCTACCAGCTTTGCTTAGAAAGTAAGACCGGTAAGCCCGATGCTTGCGTGGGTCAGTCCTGACTTTGTTAGTTATGCTGGAACAGCTAGAAGAGGGGCCATGTGACGTCTGTTCCCTGAGACTAAGTGGAGAACACCAAGTAAATAACAGTCAGGAATTCCAGGGAAAGGGGCAAGGACACAGGTGACTCGGGTTATAGGCTTTCAGAACAGCCCGGCATGCAGCTGGGCCCGGCCTGGTGCCCAGGGGCGGGCAGATTGTCACGCATTCTCCTCATCTTCCCTACTTTTGAGCCCCTCTGCAAAGGGCTGGTGTTGTCTCTCTTTTTCTGCCCTCCAGGCTTCTCTGCTCTTCCAGTGGGATGAGGAGCAAATGTGCTGAAATGCTAGAAGGCACATGGCTGGGGTGCTATTTCTGGCTTGAGCTGAACCCAGAAGTCCTAGAAAGAATGTTTCTGACACCTCTTGCCTTCTGATAATTCATGAGGCTCAAGGACAAGTTCTGCCTGGCTGTGCTCGGTACTCATTCAATTGGCTTGCAGACCGTGGCATCCAGAGGGACCAGGGCAGGAGGGCGATGGAGGTGGTGACCTGGCCCCTACGTTGCTCCCCAGCAGCAACTCTGGCTCAGAGCAAGCCAGACCCCTGGCTGCTCCATTTATTTATTCATCCATGCATTTATTAAGCAGCTACATCTGCTGCCAAACATTGTTCTGAGCACTCGATTAGACATAAAAGAGCAAAACAGACTTGCCATTCCTGCTTTCATGGATTTTATATTCTAGCAAAGGGAAGATAGATAATACATAGTAACATAATAAAATAATGAAATGTTTAATGTTAGGAAATGTGAAACACCCTGGAAGGAAGAAAGAGTGGAGCGGAGGAAAGGGGATGGGGAGTGCCTGTGAGGAGGCTGCAGTCGCAGTCAGACTAGATGTCATGGAGAAAGAGATTTCAAAGTCTTGAAGGAAGTGGTTAAGTTAGTTCCTATCTGAGGAAGAGTGATCGAGGTAGAGGAAACCACTAGAGCAAAGGCAGAAGACGGGAAGATGCGTGGCATGTTCAAGGAACAGCAAGGACGCTAGTGGAGCTGGAGCAGAGAGCTCAGACAGGAGAAGAGCATGAGAAAGGGTCTGGGAAGTGAGTACGGGAGAGGCCTTGATCCTGCAGGGCTTCATAAGCCATCATAAAGACTTTGGCTTTTACTTTGAGTGAAATGAGAAGTCATTTCTGGATTTTTTAAAAAAAGATTTTATTTATTTATTTGAGAGGGAGAGAGAATGCACATGAATGGAGGGAGGAGCTTAGGGGGAAGGAGAGGGAAAGAATCCCAAGCCGACTCCATGATGTGGGGCTCCATCTCACAACCCATGAGATCATGACCCATGAGATCATGACCTGAGCCAAAATGAAGAGTCTGAAGCTTAACAAATTAAGCCACCCAGGAGCCCCTTTCTGGACTTTTGGGAAGTGGTGTGATCTGACAGGTTTCAGAAGGAGCACTCTGGAAAGATGCCGGCTGCAGGGGTAGCATAGTATTTGGACATTTCTGAATCCCCACATCACACTGACCGAGAGACTGGAATGAAAACTAAAAACCCTTGGGCAATATTTCCCTCAAAATTAGGTGACAAGGTACTCTCACAAACCCCCATATAGAAGTCGGCAGAAACCAGTCATCCAAAGCCATAAGACCTGCATGGTATGGGCATCTCTGCAGAGGAGAGGGATGGGACCTGAAGACAGGAGAGCCACAAAATAGTCAACAGTTATTCACTGGAAGGCGCAGGAGGCCAGTCTGAGAAGAGCATTCCACTGGTGGAGGAATATGGGGCCCTGAAGCATTCCAGCCCCCTGAGCTTTTGAAACGGCCCACTCCAGGCTCCCTTCCTGAGCAGGTCCTACTTGAGGAGAAGCTGCTGGGGGTGGATTCAAAATAGAACAAAGGAGAACAAAAGAGACGTGGGAGGAGGAGCTCCAGAGCAAAGCGGTGGAGGAGAACAGAACCAGGAGATCAGAGAGAGCAGGCTGCCACAATTCCTTTTGTTTCATTTTGTTCGTTTTCCAGTACTACACGGAAACAATGGAGGAGGAAGCTCTGTGACATGAGAGAAGCTACCTTACATCAAGTCTCCTTCTAGCAGTGCTAGAAAATTTAGTCCATGTAACAGTGAGCAACAAAAAGTGTCAAATTTAAATCCATGCAAAATCATGGATGAAATCGTGCCAAAATGTATGTTCAAAAATATATATATATATCAAAAATAGAATATGTTTTCTCAAAATGAAACAGAACACTAAGAAAATGTCTTATATCAGAATTAGGCATGTTCAGAAATGAGGTAACAAAACTCAAGAAAGGATTGGAAATAAAAGGAAGAATAACCAAAGCATTATCAAATTAGAAGGCCCACAGAAGCAAATGAACATACAAAGTAACACCTTAACAGAAATAGAAAGTAAAAAGACACCTTTTTCTTTTCTTTTTTTCATTTTATTTTATTTTTTTTTCATCATGATAAATGCACTCTTTAATCCCCATCCCCTATTTCATCCCCCCATCCACCTCCCCTCTGGTAACCACCAGTTTGTTCTCTGTAGTTAAGAGTTGGTGGTTTATTCCAGAAGCAAATGGAATGCTGTGTTTAAGGTACTCAAGGAAAGAAAATATGAACTAAAGATTTTTTCTTTTTTTTTTTTTGAACTAAAGATTTTAAGTCCAGCAAAACTTACCTTAGAGTAGGAAGGACCCTGACACATGTATCAACATTGTAAGACTCAAGGAATATTGTTCCCATGAGTCCTTCTCAAGGAATTTTCTGAAAAATGTACTTTCTTCTTATTATTTTTAAATTTTATTTTATTATGTGATGTTAGTCACCATACAACACATCGTTAGTTTTTGATGTGGTGATCCATGATTCATTGTTCTCGTATAACACCCAGTGCTCCATGCAGTACGTGCCCTCCTTAATACCCATCACCGGGCTAACCCATCCCCCCACCCCCCTCCCCTCTAGAACCCTCGGTTTGTTTCTCAGAGTCCATAGTCTCTCATGGTTCATCTTTCCCTCTGATTTCACCCCCCTTCATTTTTCCCTTCCTTCTCCTAATGTCCTCTGTGCTATTATGTTCCACAAATAAGTGAAACCATATGATAATTGACTTTCTCTGCTTGACTTATTTCACTTAGCATAATCTCCTCCAGTCCCATCCATGTTGACGCAAAAGTTGGGTATTCATCCTTTCTGATGGCTGAGTAATAGTCCATTGTATATATGGACCACATCTTCTTTATCCATTCATCTGTTGAAGGGCATCTCGGCTCTTTCCACAGTTTGGCTATTGTGGACATTGCTGCTATGAACTTTGGGGTACATATGGCCCTTCTTTTCATTATGTCTGTGTCTTTGGAGTAAATACCCAGGAGTGCAATTGCTGGGTCATAGGGTAGCTCTATTTTTAATTTTTTGAGGAACCTCCACACTGTTTTCCAAAGTGGCTTTACCAACTTGCATTCCCACCAACAGTGTAAGAGAGTTCCCCTTTCTCCACAACCTCTCCAACATTTGTTGTTTCTTGCCCTGTCAATTTTTGCCATTCTAACTGGTGTAAGGTGGTATCTCAATGTGGTTTTGATTTGAATTTCCCTGATGGCTAATGATGCTGAACATTTTTTCATGTGTCTGTTAGCCATTTGTATGTCATCTTCCAGAGACGTGTCTGTTCATGTCTTATGCCCATTTTTTGACTTGATTATTTGTTTTTTGGGTGTTGAGTTTGAGAAGTTCTTTATAGATCTTGGATACCAGCCCTTTATCTGTAGTGTCATTTGCAAATATCTTCTCCCATTCTGGGGGTTGCCTCTTTGTTCTGTTGACTGTTTCCTTTGCTGTGCAGAAGTTTTTATCTTGATGAAGTCCCAAAAGTTCATTTTTGCTTTTGTTTCACTAGCCTTTGGAGATGTATCTTGAAAGAAGTTTCTGTGGCCAATGTCAAAGAGGTTATTGCCTATGTTCTCCTCTAGGATTTTGATGGATTCCTGTCCCACATTGAGGTCTTTCATCCATTTTGAGTTTATCTTTGTGTATGGTGTTAGAGAATGGTTGAGTTTCATTCTTCTGCATGTGGCTGTCCAATTTTCCCAGCACCATTTATTGAATAAAAATGTACTTTAGACAACAACATGACTTGAGAATAATCAGCCTAAAAACTGTTAGTATTAAATATGTAGTTACCTGTAGAATTAGATTAAATGAGTTAAAAGACATAGGCCATAGTATATATAATAGCTATATGTTCTGACAATGTAAATTTAG